AACTTTAAATTTTTTTTTTTTTTTTTTTATTGATCTTAAGCTTCGGCAACTATGACCATTAGCTGTAGTGGTTTATTTGTGGGTTGTTAAGGTCGGTAGGGGGAGGAACACGTGTGTGTTGGGTTTTGTCAGAATTTTTGATTGGGCACCCGTAGGTATCTGCCATGCCCGGGTGGGGGATGGAGGCACTTGTTCTCCGGACACCGTGACTTGCCCGGAGAAAATGCCGCCAAGTGGCCGAGAGAATCGAACCCGCGACTGCCAGCGCCGCAGCCGACGCGTTAGACCGCTCGGCCACCTCGTCCCCAAACTTTAAATTGTATTTTAAAATGTTCACATCTTTTTACATGAATTTTATAATAATAATACATGATCTATTAAGTCTAAACCTATAGGTGAGAAAAGAAATAGTTAATTTTCAGATTCAATAAGTAGGTAGTCCAAATGATAAGTTCTGTCTGTTAAACTTTTATACAATCATTTAAAAGTTTAAAATGTATATTATACCTAATTATTATACCGAATTTATTTTAGTATTTATATCTTTAATATTAAAAATAAAAATAATTTAGTGCACTATTTAAAATTGTTAGGGCATTTTTAAGTTTTTTTAGAACATTAAAATCATCAATAACAATATTATGATATAGTCAACCCAGAAAAATCCAAGAGGGGGACTGCCCCTACTTTCCCCCCTTCGGACGCAATTATTCGCAACCGACACCATAATCCGCTCGGCCACTCCGTCCCCCATGATTGTTATTATAATATTATTTTAATATTATGACGTATAAACAGTAAACACTGTCGCATATAAAATTGATATTATACTGTGTTGGCTAGTATTGTTTATTGTTGACGACGATTGTGCCTATAGACTGTTTAATCGAATAGAATTATTAGTTTATTTATATTGTAATATTTCGACAGTACATTGTTTCCAATAAAAATTTAACTTTGGTATTTATTTATAGTGTTTAAATTAAAGTAAAGCAAAATAATGTTTAAAATGAATTGAATTCCTCGACTTAAAATAGCTGCCAACAAAGTACTTTTTTTTTTTCGTGATATCGAGGACCGGAGAAGGAACCAAGTTTGCCAATACTTCTCCTCCGGAGCCAACACAGTACTTAGCGTGCTAAGTTTCATGCGTGAAATGATATTCCGTCAACCAATTAAGATGTGGCTGCAGGTCGTACCTAGTTTAGATAGCATTAATTAAAATTAATTATACAATTATAGGTGCACTTAGGATAGGTTTGATAAGCCAGATTTATTCAAAAACAGCTTTTAGTTAAATAATTTATCAGCGAAAGGCCCATCAGCCATGAGCTCGTTATAATATTATGTTTAAAATGTATAGGAGACTAAATTCCTTTCAAAATTCAAATATCTACAATATTTATTATAAGAATTAAGAGCCCGTTACTGGGAATCCATTTATTTATGGAATAATAACAATAGCCAATAGGTACGTATTGCGAAATTTTTTCTAAATTTAAACTTTAAATTTTTTTTTTTTTTTTTTTATTGATCTTAAGCTTCGGCAACTATGACCATTAGCTGTAGTGGTTTATTTGTGGGTTGTTAAGGTCGGTAGGGGGAGGAACACGTGTGTGTTGGGTTTTGTCAGAATTTTTGATTGGGCACCCGTAGGTATCTGCCATGCCCGGGTGGGGGATGGAGGCACTTTGAAGAGCTAGTTACTGGGAATCCATTTAATTATGGAATAATAACAATAGCCAATAGGTACGTATTGCGAGTTGGAGAAACGAGCGACGAACACGCACGTACGCCAAGTGCCAACATCATAATAATATAAATTAGATAAATGCTGATTAGTGTTTACTGATTACAGACTTAACTAATAAGTAATAAGTAGAGCTGGGATTTTAATGCCATAAAAAATCCCGAAAAATGTCCTAAAAAAAATGCTTTTATGACCTAAAAACTCTAAATAATGCCCTAAAAACCCCCAAAAATACCCTAAAAAAATGCTTTTATGATCTAAACATTTTTTTTTTTAATAATTTTAGTATAAATTACAATAAAAAGTTTAAAAAAATGCATTACAAAAATCTATTACAAGTGTAAGCTATCAATACATAGTTTTAGTATAAATCTAAAAAAAAAGTTAATCTGTTATATTTATTTAAAAACCATGTTGGTGTAAAAATCTTAAAATAAAATTTCAAATTCATACTTGGTTTCCAAAAACTCAAAAAATGCTCCAAAAACTCTAAAATGCCCTAAAAAATTAAGAAAATGACCTAAAAACTAAAAAATGCCAAAAAATGCAAAAAAATACAAAATAAACTTTCTTATTCTCATTCAAATGTACATAAAACAAATTTGTGACAAGACGAGCATTGCACAGTAAGCTTAGGAAAACAATGCAAAGTGCATCGAAATCTCAGCCCTAGTAATAAGTATACACTTATAAGTTACAACTGCGTTTCCGCTAAGAATATACCGCTTTCGCGCCCAAAGACTGAGGCCTCAGCCGATATAGTTGCCTGGCCCCCAGACTGTAGCTGTGCGTTCTGTGATTGGCTGACAGACATCGAAAACCGTCGTTGATTGACGGCGCCGGTGTTGCCGCCGTGCATAATACAGAGAATCGTAAAAATATCGCAGCTTTGCGCGGTTTTTAAAAACCATAACAAAAAATGTACAAACAAAAAAGGTAATAATCAGCAAAGGAATATTATAATTGTATGTAAATAAAATACATGTTTGCAAGAGTAAACGCAATAAGTATACGCTGTGAGTGGAATAAAACGGTTAATAGTGTGATAATACAACTCACTACGTAGACAGATGCAGTTCCGTGGCGGCCGACACTAATGCCCCCTCTGTGGTTCCCGTTTTGTGGGCACGGACAAGATGAGTTTTGGTCGGCCGAGACTCAGTGGCGTAGCCAGGATTTTTTTTAGGGGGGGGGGGGTTGTAATAAAATGTAACTTGTGGAGGATTTCACACTTCCTGAAATGTACTCATAAATTGTTTAAATAAATAATTATTACAATATACGTTTAACTTTTAAATATTTATTTAAAATAATTTTTTTTCTTTATTTACAAATAGTATTAAAATATAACATATTATGTTTTATAACAGTCTAATGCGGCCACTCTTTCCGGCCATATTTTCAATAACTTCTTCAACTGTTACTTTTACATCACGGTGAATATTCATCAATGCTAACCCGTTCAGTCTATTTTCAGTTATTGTGTTCCTGAGATATGTTTTCAACCGTCCAAGTGTTGAAAATGATCTTTCACCAGTAGCAGTGGTAACTGGTAAAGAAGCTAAAATATTCAAGAGTGTGTATATTGAAGGGTATATGTTTTCGTTACATTCGGCTAAAGCCGATACAACATTTGTTATGGGTTTTGATTTTATTTTCTGTTTCCATAATGAAAATTCCCCCAAAGCTGAATGGACATCAGCTTCAATATCAACTTCATAGGTTTTCAAAAGTACCTTATAACATTCATCACTATTTTCTTTACCTTTTAATTAATTAATTAATTAATAATAAAATAATTGAATGATAATGATTATTATCATCAGTGCAGTCGATAACGTAAATTACACAATATGATGGTGTAGTGTAAATATTATCTGCACGAATGCAATTATAATACGACACTGTGTGCAAGATAAAGTTTATCTTAAACCGTTGTAGTGTGTGAATACGGCATAACAGAATACATTTTACCACGACCAAATGATTGTATTCCTATATTATTATAAACATTATATTTTTGATATAAATACGGCTGAGGGGGAGTGTTTTAACACCCAAAACCACCCCCCCTGGCTACGCCACTGGGCCGAGTGGTATATTCTTAAAGTGAACGGAGTAAAGTAAACCAGTGGCGGTGGGATATAGGATTATTTGAAGCTATTGCTTCGTGTCTGAAATGGGTGGGTGGGTGTAAAAATAAATAGATCATGGCAAATATACTACATAATAATATGAACTACAAAAATACAAAAATATTTTTAAAAAACAAGAGGTACTCCGCCCCTTATACTTTTCAAGCACAGTTCCACGGTATAATATAATAATGTATACATTCTAATATAATACTATTTATTAATTAGGTAGGTACTATATAATAGTATACTAAATTGATTATTAATTGTTGTTAATTTGTAAATAATAAATTTGTTTATGTGATGGTCATGATAATATATTTTGAGTGTGCAAACTCCCTGCAATTTTAAAATACGGTAATTATTTTGTGTAAGTGGAGAATTTGTGGACAAAAAATACGAAATCTTCTTGTAAAATGCTATACGGTCAATATTTTTGTGTGAGGGGCAAATAGGTGGACAACGAGTGTGAAATGTCCTCGTGATTTGTGTTAGGTAAAATCAGTGTGTTTGAGCTTCCATCCTCGCTTGAACGTAGTGAAAAAAAAAAAAACGTACTGTGAACAATTACTGAACATACAAAATATGTATACTATACTTAACTCAGTGGCGTATATAGAAATAATAATTTTTGGGGTAGACAGAAACTAGCAAGTGATCTATTACTTAGAGGCTACTACTGTCTACTATATATTGAACAGTTTCTATAAATATATTCGTATTTGTTATTTTTCAACAGGCTAGACAATATTATAACTTATATAATAGTACCTAATAAAATATATTATTGTTCTATTTAAGACTGTAATTTCGGAGGGAAGGCTGTAGGTGCGAGGAAAATTAATGTACCTATAATAGGTACATGTACTCTTTCACCTTTGTGTATAGCATTATTATGTAGTCTATCTATATAATTATATTAAATTATATTAAAAAACCAGAGTATTACACATATATATTTTTGGGCTTAATTACCAGTACAAATCATACTTATATTGATATAGCAATTAATACTTTACCACATTTTCAATATTGCAAGGTTACAATAAAAGTATGTATCAACTTATTCTATTCTGTGGTATCACTCAAATAATTTATTTGTTATTATGATATGTTTAATTTTTTGTCAAGTCATTTTTGTTATCTAGTATGCTATCTGTGTGAACAATACGTCTTGGAGATCTCTTGCCCAATATCTGTTGAGTGTCTGACCTATCTGCTTTTATCTTTTTGAAGTGTTTTTGATATACTGTTTTATCTTGGTTTTGGGCTTCAACAAGAGCAAATGACTCTTGTTCAGTCATGTTAACCAATCTACGATTCATTTTTATCCAATCACTATCTCTTTATAGGACAGATATCAAGATATCTCTTTCTGCAAATTCCATAAAAACAAATAATTCTTTTGTAAAATACTGTGTGTATATTATATTATATACGGATTATTATTATTATTATTATTATTATTATTTGACGTATAATATCTAGCTCTCGAGGCAAACACTTAGAAACATAATCTTTGTTATACAGTGACCCACTTGTAACCTACTGTACAGCAGAGCGACACCCACTTGCCCACCTTTTTTTTTTGGTATGATATTATGTATTTTATGTATTTTTAGATTTATATAATTATATTGTAAAATCACCCTTATTTTTGTTGTAATTTTCATATAATAATAATTATTCTCTTTTTCTGTAATTCTATATCTTTGCCACAAGCTTGTGCTTTAAGAAAATACATATCTCAAATTCAAATATAATATAATGTAATTTATTTTTGTTCTAAGCTTAAAATGTTGTATGAGAAAAAAAATGTTACAACAATTGTAACGAATGGAAAAAAATAATTGTTTCATTGAAATATGGTATAAGTAGATAGGTACGCGTGTAAACATTTCAAAACAATCTTAATATATATAAATCTCGTGTCACAATGTTTGTCCTCAATGGACTCCTAAACCACTTAACCGATTTTGATGAAATTTTTTACACCGTGTGTAATTTGGTCAAACTTAAAAGATAGGATAGTTCTTATTTCAAATTTTTTAATACATTAAATATTTTAATTAACTTTTTAATAAATGTGTATGATTGCATGGTGTATTTCGGGTTTTTCCGTGGCCGACCGCGATAATATCTATCTGTAACCTGACCTTTTTTCTATTGTATGTGTTTTATCGTCGGTGGCGTGTAGATATGAATTGTTCCGAGAATTATCGCCATAATACGTGTAGATATATGCATATTGTATAATAAACACCTAGAATAATACCCGGGGGGAAATTATTTAACTCCATGACGTACAAATGCCACTTATGTAAGTAGGTACGAGCAGTAGATCAACTAGGGAGGTGAGGGGGCTAAAGGGAGGGTTATCCCCCTCTCCTCAAAAATATTCCTTATTGATATAGATATAAGACTTCTGTAGGTTATTTTAAATTGATAGTTTTGTTTGGTGGATTGTAAAGCCCCCCAGAATTGTTGTCCTATTTGCACCTATTGTGGTACGAGGTGCATATAGGAGTTAGGTATATAATATTTTCATTCGTCATAAATTTAAGAACTAAATATCGCCAACACGCGCAATAGATACCTATAGCTTAAAGTTTAAACTATTTAAGGAGATGTGTAAAGAAATTGAATTAATATAATTCCTGTTGAGTTTTATTGTGTTCATTTCTAATATTTTGTTAAATACTCGCATCAATATTCTATACAATATATCTATATATATAAAAATGAATGTATGTCAGTGTGTGTGTCCATATTACCATGGCAACCATATCTGTATATATAAAACAGTAAGCTGATTGACTGCTATCAACGCACAGCTCAAACCATTGGACGGATCTGGCTGAAATTTGGCATACAGATTACAGATAGCTATTATGATGTAGACGTGCGCTAAGAAAGGATTTGCCAAAATTCGCATTTTAAATAGGTGCTGAAACAGGGACATTGAGATTCACGATAGAAATTGGAAATTTTATTTTTATTTATTTATAGTTGCCATTGGTTACAGTCTACATTAGAAATTAGCATTTATTTATTGGTTGCCATTGGTTATTCGGGCAGATCAGGTACAAGCTTGGTTCGAATGACTGAGATTATGAGGCGACCTCCGAACGCGGGCGACGTTGAGGAAATCCTGTGTGGTCCCCTGTCACATGACTTGCCGGAAGACGTCCAAGCCCGAAGGAGAATTATCAGACAGTTCGAAACTAACCACGTGGAGTTCATCTGCATGGTCGAGACGATTCTGTCGACCAAGGAAAAAGATGAAAGCGAGGAACAGGCCCTGCGAAGGGCACAGGGGAACGTGCGACCGCCCTGATGGAGAACGAAACATCCAGAGCGGTGGACTCCGGTCGGCTCGCCAATCGGATGACAGGCACGCGAATTCAAGGGCGGCGGACTCCGGTCGGCCCGAGAAGGTCAGGAAGAAGTCTTAATTGTTAATGCAAAATTTAAAATGCTTGAACGGGGTAAGTCGGGGAGCTGTCCCGTCTGCCTCCCATGTATATATTAATTTTTGATACCGTCAATAAACGATGGCGGCGCCACGGAAGTAATGCGAAAGCAGATCCCGCGGCGTCGTCGGTTAAAACAGGAAGAAAAAAAAAAATATATATTGACCTAACTTACTGTAGTGTATGGTATTATTATAATGATGTAAGTTAAAAGCATTTATATTTTAGATTCCGAGTGGAGAATGTCTTGTTTTTACAATGATGTGTATTTATTTTTTTTGTTTCTACTCACTAAGTAATAAAAAACATGCTTTAATTTTAAACTTTGAAGGTGGTTTCTGATAGACAATTGGGTCTAGTTGGTAGTGTTGGTACTTTTGAGACGACAAAATGAAAAATTCCCAGTAATCTTCTTTGTTATCGGGAATAACAAAAAAAAAAAAAAAGTGGGAAAAAGTGGGTCGCTGTAATGAATTGTGTTAAATTTGAATTCAATGATATAATATCATTGTATAAGAAAAACGATATTGAGCAAAGACGGTCAGGTCAGCCTATGATATTACTAAGTATATTTGATGATATTATTGTGAATAAAGTAATTTATATATAATCTATTTACGTGGAACTTTGTTTTAACTTTTCAATCCTTAGATATAAAATATGAACATTTTATAAATTTTTAACTACAAAATAATTATTAAATTTTGTCAAAATTCGAACTTTAAATGCTTATAAAAAAAAACTTTATCTATGTATTTTTAATATTTTTCAACTGCTATTGTAAAAATATATCAGAAGCCTTGTGTTCAATTTTCAAGCATTATTACCCAACAAATAAAATTTTATTGACAATCATAGAAAAAAATACTAAAAACGTTTAAAACTGACAATTTCTGTAAACTGCTCAAAAAGAGTCAACATATTTTATAAATATTATGGTGTATAGAAAATGAAAATATAAACATTCATAGAAATTTTCATGTATCTACAGTTATTCATTTTTAAATTACAACAAAATAACAAAATCGCTACATGAGAAATTGAGTGACTATCCAATCTTGTAAAAAATATGAACTTCATACGCTCATAAAATGTCATTTGATTTGCTTATAGACATTTTTTTTTTTGATTAAGGTAGAGAAACTTATGAGTAATCTTATATTACATTTTAAATTCTTAGATTAAAAAAAAATGTTTTTTTTGAATTTCCTACTCAAAATGTTTGTGCTTCTTACGTATTTTGTGACGTACTTCAAACGTTAAATGCTTATTATAATTGAGAGATATCGAAGGAGGAGAAAATGTATTAAGTTTATAATAAGTGTATAAACAATAGGAAAATTAAATTTTAAATACATATTTTAGAAACAGTGTGATGAAATTATAATATTATAGTTTAATTTATGTATTTTATTTCTGGGAACTAATTATCATTGATTTGTAGATGAATTAAATTATTAAAATAAAGGTACTGACATTTTCTAGTTGAGTAACTCAATGTATTGTTTATAGATATAGATATAGTATAGATTACGTACTTTCCAATAAATTGTGAAAGACGGCTTTTGATTGTTTTGATATTTTGAATTTTAATTGAAGTCAATTCGTTGTCATCTATATAGATTATTGTACATGTATTAGTAAAATATATAAATAGTATGCTATGCAATTTTTAAAGTTATATCTTATTACCTTCTTAGTTGACATTTCAATGACCGCTGAGAGTTTTTTTTTTAAATGTTTGATATTAAACTCATTATGTTTATTATTATGGATATAAGAGTAATTTTATTTCTATATTACATATATCTTTCATTAACTAAGTTAAAGACGATATTGTATAATTTTTTTTTTGGAAAAATAATAACTGATTTACAAAAAATCAATGATTATATGACGTACTGATGCACAAAAACAAATTATTTATGTTTCAAAGGTACCCCCGTGGCAACCATATTTTTTATAGATTTTTTAAATCGGGAATGTATCTAATTTTCACATGCTTTTCTTTAACTCACAATGTTTCCTGTTGTCATCAAATCTTGCGAGTTCAATTTAAATCACTTCTACATGACCTAGGAGGCTCAAATTTTGTATGGAGGTCTAGGGTCGGTGACAATACACGCCCCCGTTGTCAATTCGGGGCTAACTCAAAATGTGTGGGGTGGGGGCTTTGGTTCCCTAATGGTGGAAATTCATCTGGGGCCTTAAAAACTGAGACCCCCTCGGTCCGGGGTCTCTAAGTGAAATACCCTCTAAGTTATACTTTCTAATTTATTGTTATCACTAAAAAGTAGAAAATAAAAAAAAATAGAAAATTTTTTTTTTAAAAACATGCTTTTCTTAATTCCACTTAATACGTGAACTAAAAAGTTGAAAATAAACTTACTTTTAAACAATTTCTTAATGAAACTTCAAGGTTATCAAGATATTACTAAAAGTGTATCTAAAATGTATTTGTTGCAAAATTTTTAAAACTTGTGAATTACAAAAAACGAATAGCATGAGGCTCCTATGAGTCAAGAATATCTCTTACAAAATTGGAAGTATGATCAATAATCTTTAAAATACTTATCATAAAGTTTATCTAATGATTCAGTTGTAGAGTGACTTTACATAGGAGTTATCATAAATGCCCCATGCTTTTCGTTTTTTGTAATTCACAAGTTTTAAAAATGTTGCAACAAATACATTTTAGATACACTTTTAGTAATATCTAGATAACCTTGAAGTTTCATTAAGAAATTGTTTTAAAAGTAAGTTTATTTTAAACTTTTTAGTTCATGTATTAAGTAGAATTAAGAAAAGCATGTTTTAAAAAAAATTTTTTTAATTTTTTTTTTGTGTTTATA